GGCTGCCCCATCCCTGGCAGTGTTCAAGGCCAGGTTGGACACAGGGGCTTGGAGCAACCTGCTCTAGTGGAAGGTGTCCCTGCCCGTGGCAGGGGTTGGAGCTGGAGGAGCTTTAAGGTCCCTTCCAACACAAACCAGTCTGTGGATCTAACTTTAGCAGGTAGATTGGTAAGAAGCCACTAAAAATACTTGTAGTGTTTTCTCTTGTTGTAACAAGTTGTCTGCTTTCTACTGTCAACATGTTTTCAGAACTGCTTCTGAAATAAGTCTCTTCTCTCTCTGCTCAGAGATACACACAGAGCAACGGGCGCAGACCCTTTGGTATCTCTGCTCTCATCGTGGGCTTTGACTTCGATGGGACCCCGCGGCTGTACCAGACCGACCCCTCTGGCACATACCATGCTTGGAAGGTGAGTTGGTTCCGCCTCTTGCAGAGATGGGATGGAGTATTTGTGAGTTAACATCCCCTTTAAAGAGGGATTGGTGTAGAAAAGAGATCTCACTGACCAGATGGAGGTGGCTCACAGCTGGAAAAATCCTTAATGATCAGATTTGCTGTGAATGGCAGCTGCAACTGAGCTTTACTTGGGAGATCTTGTCCTGTTTGCAACAGAAAAACCCCCAAACCCACCACAAGTGTCTCTGTGTGTGACATGTGGGAACTGACACGTTCAGTCTCCTGAAAAATAGATGTGGAATCACAGAATGGCTTCAGACTGTGTAATTGGACAACTCTTATTTCTTGCTTACTCTCTCAGTGAGGTTTTTCTGAACTTCCATTGTCTTTCCTCCTCCCTGCCAATGTTTTCAGGCCAATGCCATTGGCAGAGGAGCCAAATCTGTGCGTGAATTCCTGGAGAAAAACTACACCGATGAAGCCATTGAAACAGATGATCTCACCATCAAACTTGTCATCAAGGCTCTTCTCGAGGTGCGTCCCTTTCACACCCCTCTATGGCTGCACTGGCTTCTTCAGTGGGAGAACCTCTGTGCATGTCACAGGAAAGAACTGGAACAGGATCTGTGAAGCTGTTCCTTGTGGGATTAAATTCAGGGTTCACAGTATTTGAGTAAGTTTCTGTAGCTTACATGGAACTTACTGGCAGTTCTCCGGGGAGGGAAACAAGCTTCAGTGAAACAAATGCACCACAGAGGTGCTGCACCACAGGCAGAACACTTCTGAAGTTTAAGAAAGAGCAAATATCAGGAGGCTGATGGTGGCAAGGGGGGTTCCTCATCTGCTCCCAGAAGGAAAACCCTTAATTTTGAGCTGTTGCACTGCTCTTGGAGCAGAGTGTAGAGCCAATGAGGGGAATAGTCCCCCTCTGTAGCTGTCCTGACCTGGAAGGGGGGTGGTGGGAGTGTGTCTGTTCAGTATCTCTAACACTGACCAACTCTCTAAGGTGGTGCAGTCTGGAGGGAAGAACATTGAGCTGGCTGTTATGAGGCGGGAGCAGCCACTGAAGGTGAGTGAGACCCTTGTTTTACTCTTCTCCCTTCCCGCTGTCCTTGTTGAGCTGCGTTAACCTCCACCCCCTCATCTCACATCCTGTGCTGGCCAGAGCTTGTGTTCCTTGTTGGTCGCCAAGGAATGTTGTTGTGTCTGCACAAGGTACCTGGGGCTGGATAAATCCCAGCTAACCCTCGTTCTGTGTGAGAGCTGGAACTGCTGAAACAAAAACCTCCGAGCTCTCTTAGGATCCTGAGGGTCTCCTGTGTTCCTGTTCTAGATCCTGAACCCTGAGGAGATTGAGAAGTATGTTGCTGAAATTGAAAAAGAAAAGGAAGAAAATGAGAAGAAAAAGCAGAAGAAAACAACATGATGAATGAAAGGCAATGGCTCAGCTGCTGCTTTTTAACTGAGGCGATGGGTTATTCTGTATAGACCATGTGTAGGCATTCCACTTGTCCATACTCTGCCCCTCAGGAGACCTACAATAAACCTACTTAGTGTTTTTTTTTAAAAGCTGTTATTTTGAAGTAGTCCATTCCTTGGAACTCCTTACCTGGGAGTGGTTGGTGGCTGCAGCCCAGCAGCAATGACCCATTAAAGGACAGAGGTTTTGGCTGCAGTTTTTTCCTGGGACACTTCACTCTATTAATGATTGTTCCCTCAGTTGTCAGTGGTTGGGTTAAAGCCTCAGCAGAAGAGAACTAATACAGAATTCTGCTTTTCTTCCCCCTGGAAATAGTAAATAGTGAGGCTCCAGCCATAAGCCTGTGCCAGGGAGTGGTGGTGGTTTAGCTCTGGAGGGCAGCGCAGGGGTGCTGTGGTCATGTTTTGAGGGGTCAGCATGAGAAGTGGCTGCACAGGTCCATCTGCACAGCGTGGTGCAGGACCTGGCACTGGCTGCCCAGCTCCTCTGGTTCACAATGAGGGGTTGCTGGTGCAGTTGCCCACTGGGGACTGACAGACTGGTGGCTTCCCAAAGCTAAATATAACCACGATGTACACCACTGTTGAGCCATAAAGCTCTACTCCTGCTCTTGTATTTGCCCTCACATTGCTGCCTCTGTACTCTACCCCACACCCCAGGGGCTGGGTTTCACTCTGGTTCTGGTCACAGCTGTTGACCAGTCCCTGGCCTGGCAATTGGGTGAGCCAGCAGCCACCTGCCCCTGTGCCCCAAAGCCCTGCGGGGCAGGAGCTGCTGGGGAAAGCATCAGGCATCAGCTACAGGAAGCAAGCTGGTGGAATAGTGGTGTTCCATTTATCAGCCTCCAGCCAGGAATTCTGGGGAATCTGCCTGGAGGTTGCAGCAGAGCCCTGGGGCCTCCAGGAGCATTCCCAGTGGAGAAGGGCTCCGTCATGTGAGCAGAGGGGCTGAGCCTTAGTACATGGAAGCTAATGACAATTTCATTTTGCCACAGCCACCTCTCTCTCTGTGAGACCACTCCAGCCTTACACGTAACATCACACTGGCTGTTCCACCAGCAGAGAAAGAGCAGGCTCAGAGCAGCTTCCAGGGCAGCTGCTCAGGCACAGCCCTGTTCTGCTGGTACAAGTCCAGACACTGAACCCATCTCTGTGGGCACTGACCAGCAGTGCTGCCACCCAAAACAAGCCCCAGCTGAGCCCCGCCAGGACCACATGTGGGCAACACAACACTCCTGTTGAGCATGCACCAGTAGAGTGGAACAGCAGGGAGCAGAGGTCTGTGCCTGGATTGGGGGTTTTAAGCCCTTTTCCAAGACTGTGTAAGGCTGTACAGAGCTCTGCAGCACCAATCTGCAAGGACAGACCCCTGAGGAGCTGTATGGACCGATGGTACCCAGCTACCTACAGAACAAAGTGGGAGGGAAACATGAAACATTTACATGTTTATTATAATTACAATTTACATTACTCCAAAGAGCAGCCCCACTGCTATGTTCTAACTCTTAGCAATAAAGTCCTACAAAAATAAATCCAAGCTTTTACAGTAACCTAGGTCAGCGCGTAACTAAAACTCTAGCTATGTAAGGGGTTCAGTCGTCAAGGTGCTTTTCCAACAGAATTCCCTACCAACTGAAAAGGGACACATGCCTACAGCAATTTAACCCACTTATTCATGCAAACAAAGGTTCCCCCCTCCCAACCCCTTCCCCACATACAGCTTGTTAAAAACAAAAAGAGAAAAAACCCAACTAAACTATTTACAGTATGGGGGGTACAGAGGAAACAAATTAAACATGCCCATCAGTTAAGCTTCATGATATGGACTCCCATCCCCAGTTTAATGAAAACATTCCATAGTGTTCCACCACAGCCTACGAGTGTACAGAGAACTGTTTGTGTTTGGTACTACCCAGGAGCAAAGTACAAACGGAGGCAAGAAGTCGGAGCTTCAGATTCCATCCCAGACAGTCAGACACTGCCGAAACCTCCTTGTGTCGAGCGCAGGAGAGGAGACACGTCCCACCAGGACACAACACACACTGCGCCGCCCCGACCCTGCAAGGAGCTCCAAGCCTGAAGAACACACAGTGCCCTTGAGCTCAAGGGAGAGCCACGGCTCTGTGTAAGCCTGTGGTACCTCCACACTAGTACCAGCCAAACAGTTGTACAGTCATTTACACTACTACATGATCAACAATCCAGTATTCCCAAGTGACAATATACACAACTCCTCAGCACCAGGAATCCATCCTTCCAGATACCAAGTGCTGCTTCACACCTGCTGCTGAGACCAGCAGCACCAAAGAATCCATTCAGTTACTCAGAACAAAGAAATTCTAGCTGGTTTATTTCAAGTGAGCTTTGGTTCCATGTTAGAATAGCATGATTTCTCTTCTTCAGGGTTCAGAAAAGGAGTCTGACTTTCAGCTTAGGCTACAGCAGCCTTTGAGAGACCCAGAAAGAAGAACCATGTAAGTTAATCTGCACTTAAAAAAAAAAAAAAAAGAAAAAGACACAAAAAAAAAGACACCCTGAAGAAGGTACCCCTGAACACATTCCCTCTTCCAAAGAATATTCCAGCTGACAGTTGCTGGTCCAAAATAAGTCCAGAATATAAGCAGTAGTACATGAAGTTCTGTCACTTGAGCTGAGACAGTAAACAATATGAACCATTTTCCCACATTAGTGCAGCAGTTGGTTGGTTTCTTTCTATATACACTTTCATCCTCTCAGGGGAGATGTTAGAACCTATTCAGAGAAAAGGGTAGGATTAGATTTGATGCCGTGGGGATCTGCTCCCAGGAGACAGCAAAGTTCACTCCTGTGTTTCAACTGAAATGCTTGGCTACAAAGCCCCTGCTCAAACAAGCACCTCTCGCTTCCCCAGACAGAAGGCCAGTCCAAGAAACCAACAGCACATTCCACACGTTAAATAACACACTGAAACCACTCTTATTTCCTTCTACCACTTAGACGGATCAATCAGATACAATAAGGAACAACTCTCGGCGTATCTGTGAGGCTGGAGAGCAAAAGAGGTTGCACAGACAGCTCAGACAAGGAACAAGAGACAAACGAGGCTCAGACACAGTTTTAATCTCGCTAAAGAACTTGCCTCGAGTTACACTCTGCCAGTACCAGCTCTGTGAGTGGGTTGGTTCCGCCTCGCTGCACCGCTGCCCCTTCCACCTCGGAACCCACCGCGGAAGCTGCGGCCACGGAGGAACCGGCCGGACACCCCGAACGTCTCCGTGTTGAGCTTCCTCTCTTCAGCCCACGTGGTGCGCCTGGAACTGGACCACACTGCGGTCAGGTCTGATACTGAC